CCCCCGGGACAGGCCCGGGACACTTGGGGGGCAGGTTCGGGGTCAGTTCTGGGGTCATTCCCGGGGTCATTCCCGGGGGTCATTCCCGGGGGTCATTCCCGGGGGTCATTCCCGGGGTCATTCCCGTGACCATTCCCAGAGATCATTCCTGTGACCAGACATTCCCAGGGGTCACTCCTGTGACATTCCCAGGGGTCACTCCTGTGACATTCCCAGGGGTCATTCCCGTGACATTCCAGGGGTCATTCCTATGGACATTCCCGGGGGTTATTCCCAGGGATCATTCCCTCCGGCCATTCCCATGGCCATTCCCCGGGATCACTCCCGCCGCTCCAGGCAGGATCCGGTCCCCGGCAGCCCCCAGGTGTCCCCAGGTGTCCCCAGGTGTCCCCAGGTGTCCCCAGGTGTCCCAGCGCTCCCTTCCTGCCCCTCCCAGCCCGATTAGCCGCCTCTCGGGGCTAATTCCCGACACCTGACCGGCTTAGGCTGCCGAGGGCTGAGCAGCTTAGGACAGGGACATCTGCTCCAGGAGAGCCCCGAGAGCCCCGCAGCTCCCGAGGAGCTCCCGAGGAGCCGCCTCTCCCGTCCATGGGGCTCTGAGCCGCCCCGGAGCCCCCGGGTGAGCGCCTTGGCTGCTCCCAGCTGGGTTTTGGGGTCGGGAATTGCTCTCCCCGCCCGTTTCTGGCTCCCCGAGGAGCTCCCGGGGATGTGTGGGCGCGGCACGCGTGCCGTGGGGGTTTTTTGGGGAACAGGGTTGGGTTTCCCCAACCTCCACACTCCCAAAAACTTCCAGGGCTGTGCAGATAATGGAGTTGAGGGCGATGGAGGAGCCATGCCCTAAAAACCCGGGGGAAATGGAGACTGAAATGGGTTGAACTCCTTGGGAAAGCTGGGAAGATGCTCCAAGACGCCGCTCAGGGGCACTGGGGGGGTCACAACCCTACTGGAACCCAGCAGGAATCCCAATAATCGCTGATTCCCGCAGTTCCAGGGCAAAATGGCTCAGGACATGACAGAGAAGGAGCTGCTGAAGATGGAGCTGGACCAGCTGAAGAAGGAGGTGAAGAACGAGAGGCAAATGGTGAGTTCTGCACTTTGGCACCTCAGGGGATCTTCCTTCGACCCCCAGAGCCGGGCAGGAGCACCCCCACATCCCTGAACCCCTCCCAGCCCCACACCTGGCCAGGTGTTCGTGGCACCCCAGGGATGCTCTGGGTCACCCCAGGGATTATTTGGGGCACCCCAAGGATGATTTGGGACACCCCAGGGATGATCTGGGATGCTCTGGCACAGCCCAGGGATGATTTGGGGCACCCCAAGGATGATTTGGGACACCCCAAGGATGATTTGGGACACCCCAGGGATGATTTGGAACGCTCTGGCACACCCCAGGGCTGGTTTTGGGGTGCCCCATGGATGATTTGGGATGCCCTAGGACACTCTGGGATGCTCTGGCACAGCCCAGGGCTGGTTTTGGGACACCCCAGGGACTATTTGGGACACCCCAGGGACTATTTGGGACACCCCAAGGATGATTTGGGACACCCCAGGGATGATTTGGGACACCCCAGGGATGATTTCGGTCACTCTGGCACAGCCCACGGGTGGTTTTGGGGTGCCCCATGGATGATTTGGGGCACCCCAAGGATGATTTGGGGCACCCCAAGGATTATTTGGGACACCCCAGGGATGATTTTGGTCACTCTGGCACAGCCCACGGGTGGTTTTGGGGTGCCCCATGGATTATTTGGGATGCTCTAGGACACTCTGGGATGCTATGGCACAGCTCAGGGTTGGTTTTGGGGTGCCCCGGGGATGATTTGGGGCACCCCAAGGATGATTTGGGACACCCCAAGGATGATTTCGGTCACTCTGGCACAGCCCATGGGTGGTTTTGGGGTGCCCCATGGATTATTTGGGATGCTCTGGCACAGCCCAGGGCTGGTTTTGGGGTGCCCCGGGGATGATTTGGGATGCTCTGGGACACTCTGGGATGCTCTGGCACAGCCCAGGGCTGGTTTTGGGGTGCCCCGGGCATGATTTGGGGCACCCCAAGGATGATTTGGGACACCCCAGGGATGATTTCGGTCACTCTGGCACAGCCCACGGGTGGTTTTGGGGTGCCCCATGGATGATTTGGGGCACCCCAAGGATGATTTGGGGCACCCCAAGGATTATTTGGGACACCCCAGGGATGATTTTGGTCACTCTGGCACAGCCCACGGGTGGTTTTGGGGTGCCCCATGGATTATTTGGGATGCTCTAGGACACTCTGGGATGCTATGGCACAGCTCAGGGTTGGTTTTGGGGTGCCCCGGGGATGATTTGGGGCACCCCAAGGATGATTTGGGACACCCCAAGGATGATTTCGGTCACTCTGGCACAGCCCATGGGTGGTTTTGGGGTGCCCCATGGATTATTTGGGATGCTCTGGCACAGCCCAGGGCTGGTTTTGGGGTGCCCCATGGATTATTTGGGATGCTCTGGCACAGCCCAGGGCTGGTTTTGGGGTGCCCCGGGGAG